TGAATGTTGATAGAATTATAAAAAAAATAACTAATGGAGTTCTTAATTTAAGTAAAATTGATTTATCATAAATAAAATCATTTACTGCATGCTTACCGTAGCGAGATTTTCAAAATCGACTTATAAAGTTAATAACGTAACCAATATCATAATTTTATATTCAGTCAGTCGGAACAACAACTTTCTCATTTATCAGCCCACTGGCATCCATAGGGTTCTATAGGGATGTTCCTACTACGCATGAACCATTTTTCAATATTTTCAACTAACGGGCCGTCCCCATACCCTGTAAGGTATGAGCGTCAAGAAATACCATCTCTCAATACCCCGTCCGATATGAGGGTGAAACGGATTATCCCCATACTCCGTCCGGTATGAACGTCAAATTACCAATCCTCGATACTCCATCCGGTATAAGGCAATGTTCACAGTAGAGTCCCTTATGTACCCGGTCCGTCCACTATCTCTCAAGATACCCAGTAAGGCTACCATTCATCCATTCACTTAATCAAACAACTTTCCTATTTATCTTTAATTTTCAGTTTTCCAATTAACTATAAATTATGTAAAACAAGTAATACATGCATCAAGGAAACACAATCGAATTATCATACTAATTCTAGTGTATTATCATGCATTCGAAACCGTAAAATCAATCAATCAGTGAAACATGACAAGCATTAATAAATAACCGGTTCCGACTCTATTAGTAACCTTCAATTATCGATATTTCTAAATTACACAAAATATTATATTATTTATAATTAAACTTCAATTCCATCACCGAAAATAAGGTGAGGGATTCTTACTCAAATTGATGTTTGAGATGCTAAACCTTCAATTATGCCTACTACGAAAAGTCAGCTTGTCGTCTTAGCTCATCAACTCGCCTTAACGCACCCTCACTATATAGGTCCGGACTTGCATATGGTATCTGTTAGGTAAGTGATACCATAGTTGGGTTCCCACGTGACAACTATAAAATCAGCCTGATCATCCCTTTTCATTATCATTCTAAAATGGTGTTAGCGTCCATTATGGCGGATGGGTGGGGCTTTGGTAACGGGCTTGACCTTCCCAGGGGAATAGCTCCATCCCTTCATAGGCCTTAGAACTGGTAAAGGGGTTTTTGTCTTGCCTCTTCCCATTCGCGGCTATCCAGCTGAAAACTTTGGAGGCAACCAGATGCAGACGAGCGAAAGAGAGTTCTTGGTTGAATTGATTCTTCGATTCTTTGTTCGTGAATAAGCGACCCAGCTTCGCATTCCAAGTGAGATGGCCAAGAGAAAAGGAACGAGAGGAAGAATCGACGAGGAATCTATAACAGAAAATCGTGAATGAAAAAGCGTGACGAGAATTCTCAACCCGAGATGTTAGAAGGTGCAAAATCAATGGGTGCTGGAGCTGCTACAATTGCGTTGGTGGGAGCTGCTGTCGGTATTGGAAACGTCTTTAGTTCTTTGTCTCCGGCACGACTTTAGTCGGTGGTCGGCTCCCTTCCCAGCAACTGTCTCTTCTTCTTCAGCGGGGTTGTCTAGCGGATAGGATAAGGGTTTGGTGTGAAGATAGGTATTCATATCCGTCTCCTTTTAATATGAGCCGTTCATCGTGTTTGATCTGGACAAACTAATTGTGTTTAAATAGGAAGTAAATCTGGACCGTTCATCAAGATTTGATCTAGACCATCCCATCGCGTTTAAATAAGAAGTAGATCTAGACTGTTTATTGCGTTTAATCGCGATCGTCCGATCGCGTCCGAAGAGGGAACGGATCCCGACCGTCCACGCGCGCGGAAATAAATCTAGACTGTCCGATCGCGGGCACGCAGATCACTAGTGTGGCCTCCCGCGTGGCACCGCGTCAGTGTGCCTTGCTACGCGGCCCACTCCGCTTCGTTGGGACTGCTGACTGGGCATCCTATGTGGCACATTTTTCTTAAATTGTATTTTGACCATCAGTTTCTAATTTTTCTTTCAAAAATACCCACAGAACTCAAATTTTCACCCATTTTTTTCAATTTCATCCCCCACTTATTTTTCTTCATTTTCACATTAAATAAAAATTTTAAAAGTTAAAAATTATGTTTTTACATTAATTTTAAATTTATTAAAATTAATTCAAGGGTATTACATAAACCCTAGCCTTGTGAGTCTTACGACAAGTTGCCATTCCAATAGTAAATCGAACCAAATTTCCAAAATAAATAAAAATGAAATGTAAAACAAGGAGAAAGAGAGGGAGCAATTTTGAGAGAAGGGTTTTAATAGAGAAATTATTTTATAGTTAGAATAAAAGGCTTGTGATCCCTATGGGTGTTGCCCTTAGTTGGTCTTGTGTTTTATGAATACGTTGTTTATGTGGATTGCAAAGCATAATTTAATTGGGCCTCTTGCTGCTTCAAGTTACTTTTTGAAAAGGTGCCTACAAGAAGATAGCTATAACGAGTGACTGGTTGTATCTTAAAACTTTTATTTTTTGAAAATAGTATGTGAAGTTTTGGACCGAAGTTTTACTAAGTATGATTATAGGTGTTAACATGGAAGCCCATATCATATGTGTACAGTTTGAATGTAAATTTACCACTGCTTGTATATCATATGTATCAGTGCTAAAGGGCCACCTATAGGTAGTGGATGGTGCTAGAGGCATACCCTTTCGTGTAAACTTAGTTGCTTGTTTTTTATTTTTTATTTGGTAAACTAGTTTATAGTTTTTTCATATTGGTTGTAGTGTGATCTATCTTTAAAAAAAGTATTATATTTCGTATACTATAATAAAATAATCTTATTTTTTTTTTGAATTAAAAAAATATCGCGATTTAGGAATTAAAGCTAAAGTAATATAATAAAGGACACGTAAAAAGTGTTACTTGTTGTTAATGATGAGAATAAAAAAGGAGAATGAATGGTAGTGGCATGTAGAGGGTAGAGGCATCACCGATTCTTTTTGGTGAAGGAAACTTAATGAAGAATGAGATGAAAATGTTCCGTGAATGCTTAGAGTTTTTTTTTAAAAAAAAAAAAGAGGGGTGGAGGCATCACCAATATTTTGTGTGAAGGAAACTTAATGAAGAAGAAGATGAAGAGGTGAGCATTGAATGCTTAATCTTTTTGTTTTTAAAGAAAATTTTAAAATTGATTATTAATGATTTAACTATTATCATTTTCTTGTTTACAAATAAATAAACAATTTTGTCTAAACAATTAATAGTTTTATAGTTTAAAATGTTTTTTTTTTTTGGAAAAAGACTAAAAGATTTAGAACTAAAAATTATAACAAAAAGTACTTGTCCATAGTTGTAGGATTAAAGTAGATATTTATCCTTAAAATAAATTTTTTATCCCTCAAATATCTACTTGACTAAAATAAACTTATTTTCAAAGAAAGTTTTATTAAAATCGTAATTTATTTACTAAAATATACTTTTAAAGAAAGTTTTCACTAAAATCGAACCTTTATCTACTGTCTTTTAAACACCTCTATCTAACCATCTTCTGAAAACTCCAAATCTAGAGAGATAACTTTGGCTTTATGTTGATGGGTTGGAGGCCACCGGGTGAAATCCCAAGAGACATGGAAGATCTCAAGCTTTGATACGTAGAAACCAATATTTTTTCATTAACTTTGACAATACACATACACCTCATCTCCTGTAATGACTTCATTTTTTCAAACATTTATTTTTTTAATATCATAATTTATTGGTGAGCGTGATGAGGTGTCTTAGGAAAACAGTTTGTAAAGTTGACTTTTGGGGTGGTGTGTATATATATATATATATATATATCTGTGTGTGGGTGTTTGCCTATTGTGGTAGATAGACAAATATACCTTCAGCTCTGTGTGAGTCCATATGAACACGTGAGAAGGTGATTTTGAGACCATGAGGTGCGATCAGATCACATTGGACGGGGGAGTATGACTAGCAGTGGATGGAATACGAACTTACTCTTTGTTTAATGATCAGCGCACTACCGAACAAGCTATTCATACCGCCCTGGAGGTACTTGCATACTATTCGAATTTATATTTTTATTA